AGAAACCTTTGAAGGTATATAGTGAAATTGATAAATACTTCTAAAATAACACATTGAGCTTGTGTGATTCATATATAGAGAGAGTTGGAGAGATTGTAAAACACAAGGGTAGAAAATAGAATGTGTTCTTGGAAACTTGGGATACTATTTTCATGTTATTATTTTGTAATCTCTTGTAACAATTCTAGGAAGTATAGTGAATCAAAGTGTTATTCTCTCCCCTATAGTATATTTGTTTGATCCAACTGGATAAAAAACTCTTTGTGTTCTTGAACTTTATCTTCCTCTTATTTGTTATTGATTTTCTTCCATTGTTTTCGTGAGGAAATTTATTTTGGTTTCCCTTGTTCTTTTCCCCATACATCTTTACTCTCGATAAATTTAATATTAATATTAGATTTCAACAATAGCTTGATGTAGTTGAATCTTTTAGTCTCACAACACAAACAACTTTGCTTCCTAATTAATAAGACTTATTAACATAAATATAAGTTAAATAAAAAATAAATAAACATTCACTAACTTCTACAAATTCTACCTCATCCATTAAGCTAACTAGGGTTTATCAAGGTTAGCACTCCAACGATCTAGAGTGAGAGAATAAGGAATAATGTGAGAGTGAGAGTGAATTTGAATCATACTTTTTTCTTTATGTGATGTACCTTATATATGAAAATTGGTTAAGGTGTCCCATGCCCCAAAATTTGGAATGTGGGAGACCGTTTGTTTTTCTGAACTATGTTGCGCGTAGATTATTTTAGTGCATTCATTTGTTTTGTTTTCCGCATTTTACTTGATTTATTTCTTTTTACTTCATTTTTAATCAAAATAAATAATATTAAATAAATAAATAAATAAATAAAAATAAAATAATTAAGTTGTTTTATTTGTTTGGTTAAAAAAACTGTGTTATATTATCTCATCAATTTTAGACCTAATTAGTCACACACTAAGGACCAAGGGCAAAGTGGAGAGTAAAACAAATTTGAAACCTTAAATTGAGAGTATAAAGTTGACACTCTGAAGACCAATGGAGGCAGGTGCTAATACACATCTCTCACTCTCAAAACAAAAAAAAATAAAGTTGTGAAAAATGAAAACAAAAAAAAGAAGAAGTTATCTTCTTCTTGCGGACAACTCACATCCACTCATATCATCTCATCCTCTTTTCTCATCTGACCTAAAAAATGAAAACAAAATAGAAAGTTTACAAAAAAAAAAGTGAAAAAAAACGTAAAAAGGAAGAAGAACATTCCTTCTTCTTCTTCTTCTTCTTTTTCGCCAATTTCCCTCAATCTCTCCCTTTCAACGCCACCTTTTCCTCAATCCCCTATCGATGCAACCACCCACTTTAAACAACCATTCGCTAGCCATCCATCATAAAAAACCCACTCTACTCCCGTGAGCCTATATATGCCTTAATCTCTCTCCGGTGAACTTCACTTTTTCCCTCTCTGTGCACCACCTTCAACTTCCAAACGCAACCACCCCATCAACACAATAACATCAACTAACAATCTCACTTTGTCTCACTCTTCTACTATCTCTGTCATCTTCAAAATCCCTCAAGAACCGCTGCAAAATCACCACCTCGCGACATCACAACTATGCAGAAAGCCAACTTTTGCCTCTTTCGCGTTTACCTCACATTGAGCAACAACAATAAGTCACTCTGTCTTTCCTCTGGGCACTGCGTTACGACAACCACTTTTCTTTTCCTTCATCGCGAAAAACGCAATAACAACACCACAATTCAGCATTGGGTAACGATTAGATCCAATTTTCTTAGTCTTTTTTCTGTATCTGTGGTTTATTATGAATTTTAATTTTAACATCGATTAAGTTCGCTTATTTTTGCTGAGAATATGGACTAGATTCTTCTTTGATGTAATGACGTACATAGTTAGTTTGTGCGTGTGGGTTGCTTTTTGTCGTTGAGTTGAAGTCGTTTTTGAACATATTACGTGCGTTCAATTTGTTTGTTCGGTGTTAGTTGGTTGTATGTTCATATGTAGCGTTACATTTCGTACCATTTCATTACGTGACACATACTCGAGTGAAAGTTTGCGCGTGATACTGTTACATTACATGACATGTCATCACATTAACTTATTTCACGCAAGTTAACTTGATATAATGTGTTATATGTTGTATGCCCTTTTCGATTCAATTGTGATGAATACGTGTTGGTTGTGATTATTGTGTATGCGTGTTTGGTTTTGCTTGTTGTTTCGTTGCGTTTGTGCAAATGGTATTTCATTTCGTATAATTTGTGGCGTTAAGTTATGTCCTCACATTAGAATTTGTGTCCTCGTATTATAATTCGTGACCTTGCGTTAGAATTTGCACCCTCGTGTTAGAATTTGCGATCCCGCGTTACAATTCATGCTTTTGCGTTACAATTTATATCTTCGGACTACGATTTGCACCCTCGCGTTAGAATTTGTGCGTTAACTTTCGTTGCGTTACAATTCACTGCCCTCGCATTAGAATTCGCTACCTAACATTACAATTCACACCCTCGCGTTAGAATTCGTGCCCTCGCGTTAGAACTCGCGACCTCGCATTATGATTCATGACATTTACGTTACAATTTGGACCCTTGTGTTACAATTCACGTCTTTACGTTTTACCTCTGCGTACACTACAATTTTGCGTCTTTACATTTTACCTTTTGTGTATGCTAACTCTTTTCAATATTTTTATGCCACTTTTCGGTTATTTTTGCGTGACATTCCATCGAGCCTATTTTCACATTTCGTCAAATTCTTTTTCTTAATAAAATCAAATGAAAAAGGACATTGGGGGTGCATACTCCTGTGAAACCTTGAATAATCACTCTCGGGGAACACACATTGGTCTTACAGAGCATTCTTCTTCTGCAATAAAACACTTAATAAAATCGGATGAAAAAGGATATTGGGGTTCACATTCCTTTGAAACCCAGAATAATCGGTCCCGGGGCACACATTTAAGTCTTATCGAGCATTCGTCTTTCACAAATCTATTTCTTAATAAAATCGGATGAAAAATGATATTGGGGTTCACATTCCTTTAAAACCCCGAATAATCGGTCCCAGGGCACACACTTAAGTCTTATCGAGCATTCGTCTTTCACAAATCTATTTCTTAATAAAATCGGATGAAAAAGAACCTTGGGGTGCACACTCCTTTGAAACTTTGAATAATCGGTCCTAGGGCACACGTCCTGGTCTTACCGAATGTTCCTCATCCACCAAAAAAAAATCCAATCATTCAAACTATCTTTTCCACCTTAGCGCGATGTCAAAACCTTTTCACAAACAAAAGATGTTTTGTCCATTTCGAGACTATGCAAACAACACTTTATTCCTATCATGCACAAGAAGTAAGAACGTCTTCCGCTCGAATTGGATGAGAACATAAATCTATAAGAATATGTATTATGTTGTCCATTCTGATGCGATGCAAATGTTCACTTGTCCATGTTTTGGGTAGCAAGCAATGTTTTCCGCTTGAATGCGACTAAGCACCTTTCGCTAAAATCGACCAACCAACAAACATTTGTTATCCAGAACTATGTAGCCTTGAATTCTCTATTGCATTTGGGAATATGTAGGAGTGAGATTCAAAGTCTCGTCGTGCATTATAATAAAAAAATCCAAAAATATATTTTTCTTGTCCAAAAATATGTAATTTTAAATTTTTCATCGCACTAGAGGATACGTAAGAGTAAGACTTGCATTCTCGTCTAGCACCCTAATAAAAATTTTTTGTTGTCATTTTTCTTTTTCCTTTCAATCTTTTAATAATTAGAAAAAAACAAATAACGTAAGCTAACATTCAATTCTCAAAACTAACTAAATAGTTTCCGTTGAGTACAACGGATGTGAGAGGTGTTAATACCCTTCACTTGCATAACCGACTCTCGAACTCAAATTTGGTTGCGACGACCATTTTCTTTTCTTTTAGATCTTTATCGATATTTTCTCTTTTATTTTTAAAATAAATAAACTTTGATGGTAAGTCATTTATTATTTCAAACGTGTGAACCTTCAGATATTTTTCACGACACTAATTTTGAGTGCAAAAATCGTAGAACGAGACAAAAACTATTGAATTTAGAAATACCCTTCACTTCAATGTTTAAATGAAAAAGGTCATCATGTTAGAAATGCAAATCAAACTTATAATTTCTTAAATATTGTACAATATGAGAGCAAGTCCCAATTTTGACTTGTCCAACAAGACATAGCCAAACTAGGTCAACTAATGGACCAAGACGATCAGCCCAAAACCGATGTGGAAGGATTATTCAAATTAGGGAATGTGAGACAATGCATTTATAGGCGAATTAGGGAACTTGATGGATTTAATGAAAATAAGGAAAATATTTATAACTAGGTTGGTTCAATCTTAAAATCGACTGGGATAATAATATAAGGTACATGTGGCACATTAATATATGATTTTAAATTCTCATTCAATCATTATTTTTTCTTTTTCGTTTCCTATTAAAATGGTACTATCATTTTTTTTTAAAATGAAAATTTAAAAAATGTTTCAATTTTCTTGATTTGTTTTTTTCTTGGATTATATTTCAAATAAGTAGATTGTAAAATAAATACTATAATCAATAAAAAAAGGTGTAAACTAACTGTTATATATTACCCAAAAAAATGATATATAAAATTTCAAAAAATTCTATCAATAAAATAATAAAAAAAACAATTTTTATATTGTTAATTTTCCTGCCAAAAATATATAAAAGCAATTTTTAAAAGTTTGCCTAAAAAGTGGTTCCCTAGCATTTCGGCCATGATAGATCTTCATATTGGATGAAGAACATCAGCAAAAATGGTACAAAACTTGTCAATCATAAAATATATTTATTGACAATCATAAAACTTGTGTTCCAGAGTACTAGTATGTACAAGTGAAACAAATTTATACACCATTTATTATTATTATGTACATCCATCTTCTAGATTTGTATTGCAAGATTATGCTCTCTGGAAACTTCAACTGCTCCTCTTGAGAAAATCAGGCTGATTGGTGACAGATCTAACCCAAGACCAATTATGATCCTTTGTGTTCACTGGGTTATTAGCACATGCTACATCTTCCAGTGGAATGTATGCATAGTTTCCATTAATAGGACCAGCAACAAATCCAGTATATCCACCCATAACACCATGAATTGCAGAATGTGCCAACAGTGTACAGTACAAATTATCAGTAGCATTTGCATGAACCGCACGAATCATATATGTAGGATCTATATACTTTACTGTAAATAGCTCACCTGGATGATCCCTATCCCACCACTTCTTCAGCTCTGACTTTAACCACACTCCAACATCTAAGAAAACTAAATTACCAGATTCATCTCGCTCTTCTTTCTGTGAATCAGTTCTAGGTATTATATCCTGGCCAGCACCCTCCGCAACTACAAGGACAGCATGTCCGTTTTCCTTAAGTCGTTGATCGAGAAACTCGAAGAGTCCTCCTTTTCCTTCTAAGTAAAAATCCAGTTCGGGGATTAGGCAGCAATCAACGTCGCGGCTGCTGAGTGTTGCATGAAGAGCAATGTGACCTGTGCTTCGACCCATCAACTTCACAAGGCCTATACCGTTAACTGCGCTCTCGGCCTCCACGTGAGCTGCACTGATTGCTTGTTGAGCCATTTCAACTGCTGTTTGAAATCCAAAAGATCTGTCGATTATTCCGATGTCGTTGTCCACTGTTTTAGGAATTCCAACAACTGCAATATTTAGTTTACGTTGTTGTATTTCTTTGAATATCTTCACAGCCCCTCGCATGGTCCCATCTCCACCTATAATGTACACCTGTTGATGTGCACAAGTGCATTATCAGTAAACCATTTATTTCACATCTAGAATGAGAGGAAACTAAGTAACTAACCTGATTGAAAGCTCGATTTTGGATTGCATCGACGATTTTGCAGAGATCAAAACCGCCTCTGGAAGTCTGAAGAAGAGTACCACCTTTATTATGCCAATGATGAACAATATTAGGATTAAGCGGAACTGGTTCAGTGGAGTAAAACCCTCTGTAACCACCCGTAATACCGAAAATCTCGCGAACACCGTAGAGATTCCAAAGACCAACAACAAGCTCCCTGATAACAGTATTGAGTCCAGGGCAAAGACCACCGCACGTAACGATTGCAACCCTTACATCGGAAGGGTTGAAATAGACATTATTGCGAGGACCAGCTGTTCGGTATGCGAAGCCTGTGGAGTGAGAGAGAACAACGTCTTGTGATGTGATATAGAAGTTTTGGAGATGGAGAGTGTTGAAGTAAGGGTTGTGATCAAGTGGATTAGGGAGAGGTTGGAGGTTTGAGATGTAGTGAGTGAGATGTGGAAGTTTTTTGAGTTTAATGGGTTCGAATAAGTGAGTTACGTTTGAAAGCTTTGAAGAGGAAGAAGAATCCATGGAGGCGAAGTGATGAGAGCAAGCAATGGTAGGCTGGTGTTCTTTGTATTGGGTCGGGATTAATTCGTGGCATTTAGTCTGTTTGACATGTCTTACGTTAACATTATACAAATATTTACTTCATCTTACACGCGTGTGTATATTATGACAACACTTGTGCACTTTCTTTCTTTCAGCTGGTTTTATATTAGTGTTTTCAAATTCACAACTGGAACACTCGCTAAAGTCGGTATGTACTCCAAAACAGCATTACTCTTGGTCGGCTGTATTTCTTGCCTTATAAGTTAAAGCAGTACTTTGTCATTTATATAAGGTTTACGAAAATAAAAAAAAAATTAAACAAATATATAATAAAAAATTGTTTGATTTGACCAAAATATACAATTAAATGTAAATTAATTACATATTTGTTATAAGCGCGAAAAACCAGTTCAAATAATATATAAGTTTGTAATTTATTGTAACGGAGAATCAATGACACAAATGTTATTTAAAATAAATGACCAAAGCGTTACAAAAAAAAACAAAAAAAAACTAACTTGATATTTTAAAATAACTTAAAGGACTAAAATAATATTTTTGTCAAAAACAAAAGAACTGTTTATTTAAGATGATTCTTCTCTCTTCTCGGAAACGAGCACCTATTAGTATTCGAACGTTAATAAGACGTTGTAAGCATTTCTTTTCGATCTCTTTCACAAGAGTACCTTACACCAATGTGAGAGCCCTTTTCGATCTGCCTTGGGTAGTTTTTAAGTGAGAGCCCTTACGCCAATGTGACTACTACGAACCCTCCTAAAAACTTCCACGAGTACTAAGGAGGCCTCGTTTTGGCCTAAGTACTTCAGAATGGGAGTAACCCTCTGCATTTTATAAAGTTTCCCTAAGAGTAGGGTGTATCTGGAAGCTTTCCTCTTGATTTTTTGGCTTCTCCCTCGTCCGATGAGAGTTCTCCTGATTGTAAGTACTGTAGTATGAGCGAAATCTAAATGGATTAGAGAATGAGTTACAGGGAGTATGCTTCCTCTGCCTTGATGCTAGGGGAGGCGAGAGTCTCTTGTATGACTGTTCTATTGAACCCTACGACCTTCGAGGTGACTATCTTAGATAAGAGATCCTCCCTGAAGTTTTGATTGGGGGGACATGACCTACTTTGAAAGAGGGGAAACGTGAGGATATATTTCATAAATTTAATAGATATTTTATTAGTTGGGGCTCCTTGGCCTGATATTCTCCCAAGACCTAATTGGCGACTAGCTGAGAGTCACTTATTGCTTTTAGTCTGGTTGCTCCCATTTCTAAGGCGAGGACCATACTGGCGACGGGGGCCTCATACTCTGCTTAATTGTTAATGACTGTCAAGTCGAACTTCAACTCATATTTGATAATTATATCTCTTGATCTTTCAAGTATTATTCATGCTTATATTCCCTTTAATTGAGGTGCAATCCACAGACAACGCCCATTCTGAAGGTGGGTATTCTTCGATGGGCGAGCCGAGTTCAACCACGAAGTCGACCAAAGATTTAGATTTGATGCTTCCCCTGGGAACATATTAGATGTCATATTTCGAGATCTCTATCGACCAAGATATCATTCTTCCCGCTAGGTTAGGCTTCTTTAATACTTGGCAGATAGGATAATATGTTTTTACCAGGATGGTGTGCCCCTGGAAGTATGGTCGGACTTTCTCGTTGCAGTGACAACGACTAATACAATATTTTTAATCTTCTGGTAGCGTGTCTAACCTCCCTTGAACACTTAGCTTATGAAATACAATGAAAGGTTTTCTTTTTCTATCTCTTGGACAAGGACTGAGCTCGTCGCCCGCTCAGTGACTGACCCACTGTTACACACAGGTCATAAACGAGTTTAAAATTATAGTTTAGGGTAGCAACACTCGAATGTCATATCATAAGGACTCTTGTATTTATTTTTAATAAACGATTGAACAATGAAGGGGTTTGGTTTTGATTAAGATCACAATAAAAAATAATTGATTAAGGTAAAAGCAAAATTTATACATAAGTTGATTTACTGATTCGGTTTCCTAACTTATCATTGGTTAATATAATGTTCATGCCCTGAGCGGATTTAATCCCTTTTCGAATACAACATCAATCAACAAGCGTCATTGACACTATGCGATTTACTTTCCTAATTTCTGAGTTAAACAAACAGAATAATGATTTGCACAAATTAACATGAAAGCTTTTCTAACATGCGATGAAGATTAAAGAATGTAAATCAATCAAAATTAATCAGTATATATTTTATAGAACTTGAATAAAACATACAAGACATAGAGCAAAATATTGAAAATGGAAAAGGAAAATAGAAACATATGGAGTTTAGGATTCTTAGGGGAGGCGTCCATTATTTAGTCCATAAGTATAGGTTTTAATCCCTGATTTTCTTCTAATGAATCGAAAAAGAATCTGACTAATCTGAGATGATTTTCCTAAAATGATTCTTTTACACTAAAACATGGTAGGTTTGATTTTTCTATCTTTTGGACAAGGACTGAGCTCGTCGCCCGCTCAGTGACCGAGAGGTAGAGAAGCGACGACAAATTTTTCTTTAGGCGAGTGAGGATTAGGGGCGACATGAGGAACTCCTTGATCTTGAAGAAGGTGTCCTCAAACTCGACGGCCTATTCAAATTTCTCCTTTTTCCTTAGGGAGACAAAGAAAAGGAAAACTTTGTCGTCTGCACAGGATAAGAAGCGAGACAGAGCAACGAGGCGTCCAATAAGCTATTGCACTTCCTTCATATTTGTGGCGCTCCTCATATCGATGACCGTCTGAAACGTGTATGGATTGCATTCAATCCTTTTCCTTATCAGCATGACATCCAGAAATTTCCCTACATGTACTCTGAAAAAGCATTTGGAGGGATTTAGATGCATGTCATACTTTTTTAGTGATTATAGGATGTCCTACAAATCATCAGTGTGACTATGCCCATCAGCCATCTTGAAAATTATTTCGTCGATATATACCTCAAGGTCTCGCCCAATCTGATGGGCGAAGACCGCGTCCACGAGTTGTTAGTATGTGGCGCTTGTGTTTTTGAGGTCAAAAGGAACTAAATTGTAGTAGTAGTTTCCATGGTTTGACATGAAGGCGATTTTGGGCGCATCCAGGGGATCCATCTTAATTTGGATGTATCTCGAGTAGGCTGATTGCAACTTTCTGAGTCTAATAGTACTAACTGCAAGTGCACAATTTATCGTGTAGTAATAAAGATATCGATCCCACAAGGACAGGTACTCAAACTAGTGCTATCGGTTATTACTATGTTTAGCTAAGGCGGAAGATGTTTTTAGAAAAATAGATGCAAAGTTATGGAATATAAAGAAAATAAAAGTTATAAGTTTTAAAAATATCAATAAGGGATATCGGTATGTAATGCCTTAATTATCGGGGATTCGACAGGTCACCGGTGCTTTTTAGCTTATGCAATCACTTTTCAGGAGAAAATACTCATTTAAAAACCTTTTCCTCACACTGGTTGTTGACTATGGTCATAATTTTAAGGCGGAATGTACGCTCTCGCAGTCCTATTTCGGGTTAAAATTAATTTTTGAAAATAAATAAATTCTGATTTCTTTTAAAGCGCTTTCGCTGTGTTTAAAATCAATACCTAGTTTTTACTATCCGGTTCAAACCCTACGCTTTCACGTGCGGCTCGAACCTTAATAAATCCCCCACTTTCGTGGCAAAACTGTTGTAAATAGCTTCTCACTTCCGTGACAAAGGTTATTTATAAAATTAGATTAAAAACTACGACCAGAAAAATTGTTTGTAAAAAGGTAAGACGCACTGAATATTATCGAATCCCGTCCTACTAATTTAATTACATACCGATAAAATCAGTTTAGCTTGACATGATAATTGATGTAAACATAAATAAACATAAACAGTAAAATGAGATAACATGCATACTGGCAGAGATAAAATAAGTATTCAATTAATAAGAACCTGCAAGTAGTACATATAATGAGTTCTCGAGTAGTCCTCCACAATGTCGGCAGGATTCTACTACGGTGAAATAAAAGTGCAGAAGGAAATACAGTACTCGGGACTAAAGGAAAAGGAAAGGAAATAACAGTAAAAATGGAAAATGGCTTCAATAGAATTTTTGGCAGCACTTTGGTGCGTAGAATGAAGCTCCCCTTTCAGGTCCAACTGCCATCCTTTTATATCCGAGGTTGCATGAGGAAATGTCGGAGGAAAATGAGTTGAGGGAGAGAATTATCAGGGAGGGCATACTGCATCATGCCTAAATTATCTCCTTTTCGTGGCCACGTTCTTTTATGAACGTTATGATTGGAAATATGATCGTGACGATTGGGTTAGGGGTGTGACGGTCGTGATGCTCGTGACAATTGTGGTGGACTGTGACGACCGTCACACCTTCAAAATCTTGTTTCTGCTATTTTCTGGATTTTTCTCCTCTTTTGTCCCTTCCTTACGTGATTTTCTATGTCTTGCTCGTTTTTAGCGTGAGAATGAAATACCTGCAATAAAACTTAGCAAACTTGCGGAATAATTGGGATTCAGGTTGAAATCATATAATAAATCGATAGAAAATACTGCAATTATAAGGTACATTTTCGTGTTATCAAACTCCCTTACACTTGAATCCTTGCTTGTTCTCAAGCAAATAGCTGGAAGGACAGGCCAATGCAAACATATGGCATACCCTTTTTAGGTTTTCAAGATGTTTTTGAGGCGTTTGGTTAGGATGTTAGAGATTCAATTAAAACAATACGTACACGGTAGTGACACAAAACAGTAATCATGCTCAAAGGCCTCCCTCCTATGCAAGCCAGTTCTAATCATTCTACTATAGCTCAGCATACAGTTTCTCGTATCAAATTTCACCCAGTTTCGTTCTAGCGCAATCACATTAAGCCCTTTGCCTTTACACACACGTAGTGGAATAGCCTATTAGTGATTTAGATCCTTTATAGTATGGGGTCTGGTACAAGAATG